ACTATTTAAAATTATTAAGAAAAAATTAGATACTAACTATAAACTTTTACTACTAGATATAATATATATTTACCTAGTTTTTTATATCTTATTATTAGAAAAAGTATTAAAAAATATATTAGATTAAGATTATCTAATTAAAATCTATAAAGAAGAATTTAAATTAAAAAAAATCTTAAAAAAAAAGATTAGAAATAGATAAATATTTTATTTAGTAAAATAGAAGGATTATATTAATAAATATAATATATAGGAACTAGTTAAATATCTAAAGAAATACTAATATTTAATTTACTAGTTCTACTAGAAAAAGAAAGATTAGTAATATAATCTTAAGTAATATTACTAAAAAGATTATCTAGAGATAGATTAAAAGAGAAACTAGAGAAATTAATTACCTCTATTATATAAGAGCTCTAAACCTAAAAGGTAAGCTATACTTTTTATACTTATACTTACTCTAGCCCCTCTTAGTAAGCTTTCTCCTCTATCTCTTTTTACTCTACTACCTTAAGTTCCTCTATATTCTTCAGACCTTTCTATAGTATCTCTATACCCTTCTTATAGATACTCTATTATATCTTATATAAATATATAATACAGGCTAAAGCCTCTAAGACCTTCTATTAGCTCTTTAGGATCTACTTCTATATTTATTACTAATATTTAATAAGCAGGTTCTCTACTAATACTTCTTCCTACTCTAGATAAACTAACTTCTTATTTACCTATTATACTAAAAAGAAATATTAAGATAGAAAATAATATCTAGAAAGTAGATAACCTACTTAATAATATTAGAGTATATAAATAGTTATAAAAACAGTTTATATAATAATACTCAGAATAATATAATATATTAGAAATAATAATATATAGAATATTCTTCTTAAAATAATAAGAATATAGAAAAACCTTAAAATCTTATAAGGAAATATACTCTAATTTCTATATATAGTTCTATATAGACTTAGATTTCTTTTACTTAGAAATACAGTTAGGTATAATATTAAAACCAGAAGTAGAAATTAGTTATAGGATTAAGTTACTTATAATAAAAGAATACTCTATAAATATAGCCTTAGAAATAAGATTAATAGAGAGAGAGTATTATATTATAAACTAAGCTACTTATAAGCTATTCCTATTATATACTAATAAGATAGAACCTAATAAATTCTTACTCTAACTAATACTTTACTTAGAATACTAATAAAATATAATAAAATACTTTATTTAGAATACTAATAAAGTCTAATAAAGTCTTTACTATATATATATATATTTATTTTATTAGATAGAATACTCTTTTAGATAGTTATTAATAAAGTTATAATCTTTTAATAATATTATCTATATATCTATTATTACTAGTTCTATAATACTTATATATTAATAGTAATTTATATTATATAGTTTATAATAATCTGATTATATTATTTAGAATAATATTCTAATTAGTTTAATTCTAATTTACCCTAGATTAGGTCTAGTATAAGTTATCTAACTATTATAGAGAGTATATAATATCTCTTACCTATTAGCTAATTAAGACTATTAGTATTATTACTAATAACTTCTAGATTTATAGGTAAAAGGAATAGATTAAAACTATTACTTCTAACTAGTAATTATAGAGGGGAATTATAGTCCTTATATTTCTAAGAATCCCTTAATTATATTCTTATATAAGTAGTCTAATCTCAGGCTTATAAGGTTATTCTAATATTCTTCCAACTAGTAATAACTAAAAATATTTATATTCAGATAACTAAGATTATTCTCTTCCTTTAAGCTATATATTTAATAGAATTAGAATATTCTTTAAGATATTAATTTTATACTATTCTCTTAGTATTAGATTAATTATTAAATTAGTAGATTTATAATTAATTCTACTAGCTAGGGTTATTTAAACTAATAAATTAAAGTTTTAATAATTAGATCTAGTTAGATTATAATCTTTTAATCTAACTAACTAATTCCTCTTAGTAAAACTAATCCTTCTAGATCTATTATATTATAGCTATAGCTATTATATAATTAAATTTTCCTCTTATCTTTAAAGTTAAACTAGTTTCTATAAAATTGTTACGAATCTCACCCCAACCATATACGTCACATACGGTACCCGCATTTCCATCCAATCGCATGGAACGGTCGACGAGATCGCAACAACCACAGCAATCCTGATCGCGACGCTCACTACGATCATATCGCTCGTACCTAGTATATATACATATTCATTTCATTAGCTAGAACACTCTTTCAGACAGTTATCAATACAATCATCTACACATCTATTATTACTAGTTCCATAATACTTATATATTGACAGTAACTCGTATTATACAGCCTATAATAACCTGATCGTGCTACTCAGAACAATACCCTGATTGGTTTAACCCCCAACTTACCCTAGACCAGGTCCAGTGTAAGTTACCTAACCGTCACAAAAATTTCTAATATTAGTTACTAGTAAATTATATATATACTTAAACAGGCTGGGCTATAGGCTTTAATATTTATAGATTATCTCGGTAGTTAATAATATCTTCCTATCGCCCGCTTAGCTCCAACAGACAAAGCCTATCAAATGCTAGACAAATGAATGCATATGAGAGGCCTCCACGCAAAGCTTCCTTGTTCTTTCGCTGGTAAAAATTCATATATCCCTTTGTCCAGAGAGGTGCATCTTATGAATTCGACGGACGCTGTCCGAGGTATGGGAGCTTCTAAAAACATGTCTACACAAGGTAAGGGGCCATACAGCTACGTCCAGGAGTCCTGGAATTCTCTCGTCGAGCTTTGGCCAGGGCATGGTTCCGAAATAGCAACTTATTCCAGGGCACATTTAACTCACGGTGGGACACCACCGGCAAGAATGTCGAGGTTGCACTCGAGAATCAGATAAGCACAGCCTTGAAGGCCCAGATGACTTACTATTTCGTATTCTTATATCGGAGTTTGGAGAGCTAAAACAACAATCATTGATACTTTTAGTGCGTTAAGCATGTAGAAACACACTTAGGTATTACATGGATCGGGTCGCAGATTGACAGTGTCGACAGTTATGTATGTCGCAGGACATTTGGTCAATGAGGAGTAGGGCTACACGTACATTAGAATTGCCAAATACTTCTCCTCCTTTTGGACGTCACATGTGCCCTGTCACCCTTGTATTCTCATTAGATACAACGTCCATATGGAGCTACCGCGCCTGTATAGGGCTACGTTAAGGCACACTGTTTCTCCTCAGGGGGATCCTCAGCTGTAATTTTACGGAGAAGCCAGCTGGCTGCGCTAGAGAATCACACCTAGGTAAGCACAGCACACCTGCAGCGCTGGGTCATCCATCAGTCATTATAGAATCAGCCTTATAAAGAGTGCGTCCTCCTGAAAGGAGCTATATAACCAGTATAACCGATTATACACCCAGTGTGAAGTTGAAAGCGTACTCGCTGACGACGGCATTAGCATCTACACCTAGGCTGTAAATGCTATGTGAAAGCCAGATGAGATTCTTCAGGGAAACCAGCTGCACCATCACATAAAAACCTCGCAACTTCCAATAGTGACCCTCTAGCTCGATTCACTGCCCATGCGTCACACTTGTCTCACTAATATTGGGCTTCAGCGGCTAGCACTGGGCAGGATTGATTCAGGTGTCGACAAAGTCTGCCTCGCTCAATTTAACATACACTGTATGGATCGCTGGCCTTTTATAGCAAGCTTCTTGTGCAGAAGCGGGGAGAATCCTTTCGTATCACACGCGCTATGGATCTATTGCCCCAACCCAGGATTCTGATGTACTCTTGCAATGGGCCGGCTGGGGTGCTCCAAGGATTCTCGATTGCTTGGGCTAGCCGTAGGTCCGATGTGCAGAACCATGACGTGTCGCCTCCGCGCATCAATCTCGGGCTAATCACCGATCTTCGTCATGTGGCGGCGCAGCTGGGCAAAAGCTGGACTCACCTACTTAACCAAAACACATGCCGTTCGTGGACGCTCACCGACTACTGCCCACCACCCCAGAACAGATCGTCCAGCGGCAGGACAATGCTACGCAGTGCCTACGAGTGACAAAAAAGTCACCATTGTGGGCAAGTCTTACATGCTTCTCCCCATCTGAATTAGTGCGATGCTGGTGCAGCGAAAGCGTTCCAAAATAAATAAATAAATAAACGCTCAGGGGATCATCAATATCAAGCCGTATTCACAGTGTAGTATGATTGCCCTGGCGTATCTTGAGGATATCTGACAAAAAAACACATTATATTTGCATTTCAGAAGAAGAAGCAAATCGAACCAAACCCCCTATCGTGACCGTCGGGAGGGGGACTGGCAGTCTCTGAGCTACATGCACGCCAAGAGTGATCTGTATAGCTGGATTCGGCACATTTAAGCATGGCGCAGATACGATTCATACGGTTGCTTATTTTGGCAAGAGATTACCGAAGCTAATGATTTTCACACCTTTTGGGGTGGGCTTGTCAAGGCCTAACTAGGCGAACTTTCACCCCCGTTACACCATTCAAAAGCTTTGCTCTCCCTTGAATGTACCTAGCGGGATTTCAACATCTTCGTAGTTCAAGAACGGTGTTCATAGGCACAAAATGGAGTTCAGCGCCGGTGTCGCTGCTGGTATCATCGCCGCCGCATTTTTGATTGGTGTGTGCATCGCCTCGTCGTAGCCTGCAACATCACTAACTGAGAAATACCGAATTTAGCCAGGCTCTCGATTCCGACGTTAGTCAATTTTATCATAGCTGGACAGCTGACGAACAAGGAAACAGCAGCGACATGGTAAACCGTCCGGACCAAATGTTCAGCGGCTTGACTGACCAAGTGATAACCCTAGGACCGTTGGCGCAGCATCACTGCAAAGCTCGTACTGGCCAACTTTGCTTCGAGCAGATGTGACGCGGCCGCGCGGTGTGCGAACCTCTATTGGACGTCTCTCACTTGCTTCTCCAGTCCTTGCCATCCTAATCGGCATAGCCAGCGTCGTTACCCCCCTCGGGCTGTACGAGGCTGACCAGCTTGAGGATACAGCAATCCAGCCACATTTTCAATATGCACCTGACTCAAGTGCCATGTCTTCTGGAACCTCCACCCGTGGTGATCATAGCTTCACGCGGACTTGTTATCTTGGCTCTGTCGGGATGTGCGTGGTTCCCTGCTCGTTCACAGAAGACGAAGTCGAATCTACCATGCAAAACGAGGGCTCCGACTGCGAATACCCGGCCATGGTGAACACTACTGTCCCAAATGTTCTTATCGAAAGGTTTTCAAGCGGAACGAGCTTATCGAAGACGACTGTCTCCAACTTCTTCGACATTGAATGGAGACAAATGACATATCAATCCCAGCCTACTGCGAATAATGGAGAGCCGACACCGGCTGGATCATTCCAATTCCTTGAGAGCTTTACCAGTAGCGACAGCATCCATGTTGTTGAAGGTCTAGTCGTGGATGCCACCAAAGGATCAATAGGGTTCAGGAACCATACATGGCCTGTCGTCACTGGCCGTGGCGTCACCTGGACCGAGGATCTCCTCTTTCTTGAGCCGGAAGTAGATTGCATCAACAATAACATCTCCATCGATTTCAACTTCACAAACACTGCCGGCAATGTCTCAGATACCAGACTATCGGAATTGAAGCTAGTCGACCACGGCGGATTTGCAGACATAAACATAACGGCTCCGTACGACGACCGCCGTGATGGCCCTAATAAGCCCGACTTGAGATCGCGAGCGTACATTGCAGCGTGGATGACTAACGCATACTCCATGCTTACGCTGAATGTTACAAATCCTCGCAACGATAGCGAAGGCATTAAGGCCTTTTCCTACATCGATTCCGAACTCGGCAAGTCATTTAAGCTACCGAAGCCATCCACAAAAGTCAAGGCTTATCAGTCGCTCGAGTTACTCTTAGACTTGGGGGGCATATTCGATTTAGATGGTCTGACGAAAGACTTTGCGCTTAAGAACCCTTGGGATATTGAAAACAACAATTTCTCAATTCCAAGTAAGTCCCGTGGAAGATGAAGACCGGAATGGCTCACTTGCTGACAGTCACTTCGTTAGTACGAATGTGCGAAGACACGTACGCGTATTCACCGACGAAGCTCAATTATACTTATGTTGCCTGTAACATTGTTCGGGGCGTACCACAAAGGTTAGGTGACGGTCCCAGCCTGATCTTTGATGATGGGAGCTCTTGGTCGTCGCCATTGTACACATGCGCTTCCACAGTCAAAGCAACTGTTAAGACCGTCAAATTCTTTCATAACGGAAGAAATGAAAACATTGATGGGCTCAAAGTAGAGAGTATAAGCGACAAAGATTATGCGACTGAGGAAGACATGCCACTTTGGGGTGTGGAAGATACATATCTTACACTATCGGAGCTCACTCCCATCTGGGGCTTGATCGACACAGCTTTGGAGGGGGCCGAGAACATCTCAACTATCAGACAGCCATGGTTCTACCTTCTGGGGGCAAGCCTAGGTGTTTGGAACCCAGGACTAGTTTTAACGGGCACACGAGATAATCTCGCCGGTGGGATCGCCCCAATCGCTGCTATGAACGCAGTAACTGGGAGGACCACCGATATGAGCGTGGATGCCGCAATTTCCGATTTCACAGCAGCCTACTCTAAGAGTCTCTGGCTGAAATGGAAAACACTCTCCAGTTCCGAAAGCACTGTCGGCAATATTCTCAAATTGCTCTGGACAGATGTGGCCGCCTCGGCAATGGTCGGCACCAAGGGAGTGCTCGGGCATGGTAACGCTCAGACTGACAAGGCGGTCGGGGTACCGGTATTTCGGGTGGTTCGAAAAGTCCAATACAGGTTTCTATTCGGAATCCCTGCCTCTATAATTACACTTTGCCTCGTTGCTATTACCGTTCTGATGCTTGTAGCAGTACTCAGTGGCCGCTCAAGCTTAAGGATAATGGACCGGCGTCTCAAGCAAACGTCTTTAGGACGAGCCTTAATAATGACTTTGAGTGGAGAGACAAGCGACATTTTATTGCCAAGCAAGGAATGGAGCGAGACCTATGGAGAGATCCAGATGGACCTTGGGAACTGCGTTGATTCGTCTCCGGACGTAGCAAGCCATGAGGAGAATTTGACCAATACGGAAGTGGAAACCGTTGAGTAGAAGATACCAAGACGGAGACCCGCATCTTCATAGGTACTTGATTCGGGCAACAAGATTAAGTGAGATATTGGTACGCTAAAGCATGTGGGAAAGCTATGTTTCCATAAAAATCATTCCTGATTCTTTGCAGTTGCCGGATCGACATACCATATACAGCCAGCACGTAGCTTGCACGACGTGCATAATCGCTCGGGTCGTAGCTATACACCATGGAAACGCTGCACATGACTTCTAAAGTGATCTACGCTTTCCAAACTAAGGTGTGCGATGTAGGGTTTCTGCAACCCGAGCTCCACGAACCTCATAAAGAAGGAATTCGTGGAAGCTGACTATCTAACTGAAGGTTGAAGAATAAAGAGGTTACGACTATCGCGCCGTGGCAGTAAATGGCTAGGTCGGGTTTTACAATCCTTTGTCGCGCAGTAGTGTAAAGATAATAGAATGACTGATTTTGCACTCGAGCTTATCCGTAGCTGATGCGATGCCTCCGGAAGTGCACATTTTGAGATGCTGTGCACCTTTACGCATGTTGTCCCTCGCCGCTTGCAGGCATTCGGGGACCCCGTCGCAGAGTCTTCCAAGGGCGGAGTTCGCGATACCATTGCTCGGGCAACAATGATTATCGCTCCAAACCTCAGTGTCATCGCCGTGGCCGCCAGCCTGGGATAGCATCCTTCCGCCCTGGAAAACGCGAGGTCCGGGTATGAGAAATTCTTCCGTAGCTTGAGCATGTGCGATTGTTGCACCGCCCGTATCCCGGACAGAGGTGAATCCATTAGAAAGAATGCCTCGCAGAGTACCTGCGGTCCTGAGAACAGCAGTCTCGTGAGGAAACGTGAAAGCCCCGTGGAGTGTCTAGGATTGGTCAGATAATCTTTCCATTGTGATAGTGACACCACAAGCTCCTTACCGCGCTGCCGTGAACTGCCATCAGGTGAACATGACCTGTGTTTTGTTAGCATCAAGTTTATGATAGGCGAGGACCGAACACTCACAATCAATCAATCCTGGACACAAATAATCTGCACTTGCGTCTATCTTTTCCACTTGCTGCTCTCCATAACGGAACTCGGCGGTCAAATCATGAGAAGTCGTGGGTGCAACCTTCACTATCTTGCCGCCTGCCAGATGCAGACTCATCCCCTCGTGGACAACTCCCGCTCTGGGATCGACGAGCTTTGTATTGTAAAGAAGATATGGCTTCTGGGGCCCAGGAAGCCAAGGCTTTTCAGCAATATCATATTCCGGGTCGGGAGGATAAATTGTTGCGGTCAGTTCTGCAAAAGACTTGACCGGTTTTGTTCCAATCTTTGGATGAGACGGAATAGCCATGTTGCTGTCGGGTTTTGAGTTTTCGTGGTTGATAATCTCGAAGCTGGAAACACTATCACGGCTTGAGTATGACTTCGTAGGTTGGATTTACCTCATCTTGTCAGGCTGTATGCGGTGTCTTCGGTTATCGTGAACGTTGAAACGCCGTGACGAATGCCAATAGTGAAAGCCCGAGGAACCTTGGATTTAATGAGAGGATTGAGCTGTAGATCAGCAGGACTCCACTACTACAATCAAGTGCTCCTTGCCATGGCATCTCGGAGGCCACCAATCGGAAGTGATTCGCATGGTTATCGGTTGTTGGGTACAAGCACCCGAAGAGACCACGTGAGCCAAACCATCTCCACAATGCGTGTATGGAAGGCAGAAGATATTAGATAATCCCAAAATGCAATCAAGAATCTGTTGAGCCGACAACTTTCCATCCGTTGAAGGCCATATTTGCCCTCGACAGGCGCATTTCGTCGATAGTATGGGTTTCCAAGAGCGTGGCCATGTGTTTGCCCCACCAGCGATGAGCCTACCAGGACGTCGAGGACTCCTAGATGGAAGACATAATAGTGTCCTACTACAATTCTTCGCAATTGTAGGCATTGTGTACACATCATCATGTCTTTGGAAAACCAATTGGAAAATATCACCTCAGCTCAAACGACTCTCAAATCCAAACTCGCAAGACATCGACCCAGACACCGACTACCCGCCGAGGCCAGCAGAAGAGCAATGGGATATTTCCACCTCTTACCCCTACCCGAAGAAGCTTGTCAAGACTGTATCGGAGGGAACATGGCTCCGCATCACCACACACCCAAGCAAGCCAGAGATTGTCTTCGACATGCTGGGGGATCTCTATTGCATGTCAACTGAAGGGAACGCAGACGAGGTCGCGATTCCACTACTTTCGGGTATCCCTATTAAAAAGAGGCCGAGTTCTCAAGAGATGGTACTCGCCTGGTGTTGATCTCAGATGCTGGCTTTGGTGTCGACAATGTCTGGACAATGCCATACACAGGCTGCGAGGATATGGGGAGACGTTCGATGGAACAAAGACGCAAGTCTACAGTACAGCAGACCAACTCGACCTTCAGATTCTTTTCCAGTCCTGCGTTTCACCCAACAGATGCTAAAATAGTCGCTACAAAATGGTTTCTGATCGGAAGGCCAAACGGTGCAGGCGAGGTTTGGGAATTTCTATTGCTGGACAACAATACTGGTCGACTGCTAGAAAGAGGTGGCAAGCGTATTGTTCAAAGAAAGCTCCCGCCCTCTTGGTCAGCGAGCCAATACCCTCAAAGTCAACTAGGTTCCGAACAAGCTCAGTACACGCCATCTGGAGATGGGATCATCTTCTCTCGCAACATCAAAGATGACATGAGTGGAAAATTCTCATATAACAAAGATGTGCACGCTTGTATCAACGCCGTCTTCATCCTCAATACCACGACTGGACGTACGAGTGAAGTTGTCGCCGCTACTCAGAGTGAGCCAAATAAGCCAGCGAGTCCTGGTGGAGCGAACATGCCCAGGCTATCATCCGATGGGATGACCTTGGCGTTCGTCCGTCGCAGCGGGGAGAAGGAAGTTTTGGCTTTGAAGGACATGCGCTCCGGTACAGTGCACTACGTTTGGGACGGACTCTCATACGATTTGAGCACCATCCCGGCATTCATGGGTGCGTATCCGAATTATGGGTGGGCAGACAATGACACGTCGATCATCATCTGGTCCCAGGGGAAGATTTGGAAGATCCGCATTGGCATAAACGCATTAGAGGAACGAATTGCTGCGGGCGATGCACGTCAACTCCCGTTTTCTGCGACGATCGATCTTGCTCAACAAGATTCTCAGAGACGAAAATAAAAGACCGAGAGCTGTCAAACTTTCGCCGAGAATATGCGCTCAGGAGACTCAAAAGTAATATGGCCGGCGATGAAGTGGTCTTCGAGGCCTCCGGCGATAATTACTTGTACAATCTCCAGGCCGGCATCTTGTTGGAACTTCCCACCCAGACATTTCAGCATCTTGCTATTCACCCTCATTCATTGCGGGGTCCCAGTACATAATTCAGGCTTGTTGGGACAATGATAACCTTACAGAGTTCCATCTCACTGATCGAAAACGTATGGACTTGCTTCCGCTTGAGGGTGTGCCAAGGGGGAGACGCATATCACCTATCAGTGACGGTATCTATTTTGCATACGTGCGGACTGGTAAAGATTACATGTTTGGCGATGTTGAGGAGACATTCGGAGAGGGCGTGTGGATTGGAAAGATTCAGTTGCCCTCAGCATCCGTCTGGTCATGCAAAGGCAACTGATCTTCAACGAATTCCGGATATCGATGTTGGACCTGAGACAACCCTTGATATCCGTACTCTGAACGGTCAGCATCTACTACTCATTAACCAGCCGGATTTCGTAACCGAATATGACATCAAAACGGGCCAATTCGAGAGGACAGCTTCAGGCAAAGCGTCGGTGGAGATGCGAACCAATGTCAAAGGCCATGATTATGTCGTATTCCGCGACTTCCAGCATATTTGGCTCTCAGAGGGGTCGAAAAAGATGCTACCTGCTCTATGGAGCAAGCCGAGTGATCTTCAAACACCAGAAAACTTGATTAGGCTTTCTCAAGTGGGTGGTCACGATGTCAACCTCAGCGGAGACGGTAAGCTGGTGATGTGGTTTCTTGGCCCTACCCTCCACTATGCTCGTGTTAAGGACATCCTGGCAGCATGTCATGAAGCCCCCCTTGCGCTCCGAGACACGGGACACTGTGCTGAATCAGTTATTCACACGAGCACTTTGAACGTTACGTACGAAAGCGCACTGAGCTACCAGACTCGGTTTGCTACCGACAAACCATTCACAATTGTAAATGCTACTCTCGTCAGCATGGACGACCAACAAGAGCAATTGATTAAGAATGCTACAATTGTGGTCCATAGGGGCGAGATTAAGGCTTCAGGGCCAGGTATACTTGTCGATATGCCCGCAGATGCGGAGGTTTTGAACGTTCAAGGAGGCGTTGTACTTCCTGGTTTTGTTGATGTCCATGGCCACTGGGCGGCTTCATCTCACCTTACCCATTGCAATCTTGGGAGATGGAAACGTTTCTTGGCTACGGCGTCACTACGATACATAACCCTGCATCCAGGAATGTGGCCGGGCATGTAGAACGTAACCTCATCGAGAAAGGGCGCATGTACGGCCCACGGGTGTTTCACACCGGCGATGTTCTCTACGGCTCAGTTCAGCCTCCAGTCTACACGGAAATCAATTCATTACAAGACGCCCGAGACGCATTATTACGGGTCAAGAAAGAAGGCGGAGAAGATTCGTTTTCTGTCAAGAATTACCAATTGTCAGCCCGGTCTGCCCGGCAAAGGTTGCTTTTGGAGGCCAGCAAGCTGGACATGCTGGTCGTTCTAGAGGGCGGGTGGTCATATGATTGGGGCCTAACATATTTCATTGACGGATACACATCTCAGGAGCATCCGTTACCCGTTCCCGAACTATACGATGATGTTCTCTCACTTGTGGAGGCAAGTGGAAGCTCGTATATGCCGCTTGCGGTGATGAACTACGGAGGTATATTTGGCCAGCATTGGGTACACCAGACTTTCAATATTCCTGAGGACCCAAAGCTCAGACGGTACGTCAAGCACGATATCCTGGAGAGCTTGACGGAGGTGAATCAAGCGCCGAATAATTCCTATCTCTTCTTCAACACTACCATATCTACGGCAAAACTAGCAAAACGAGGCGTACGAACCAACGTAGGCGCCCACGGAGAGCAGCCGATTGGATATTTGTACCACTCCGAGATGCTGATGATGGCTATGGGCGGACAGAGGCCGTACGAGGCCTTGAGACACGCCACAATTGGAGGGGCTACTTCATTAGGACTGAACGCGTCTGTGGGATCGATCAAGGCTGGGAAGCTAGCCGACCTAGTCATCTACCCTCCTTCAGTTGATAGTGTCGAAAAGGCATGGGAAAGCAGCATGCATATGGAGTACGTGATGCGAGGAGGCACTTTGTTTTCTGTGGAGGATGGATTGGTTGAAATGTGGCCTCGGCGAGGGAGACGGCAAGAACGGCCCTATATGAACCCTTAGACCATGATCTTATTTTTTTTATCGTGCGAGAGGGATATAAACACAGTTGAGGAAATGAGCTATGCACAGTCAGCCTTCTATGAAGTTAACTTGCGAAATGAGCAATGGCTCTGTGCAGTTCATCAAATTTACGGCATACTTTAGTAGACAACATAAACGTCAATTATACAATAACACGCTACTGTCAGCTTTACATACCGTTACAAAGAATGGTTCTGTCCTCCGCCTACAACATTCTCCCGGTGAGAGTATTCGTATAAAGTAAAAAGCAACCATGGAAGATCCCAGACCCGACATCTCAACACGATAGATACAAATCTACAATAATATCCCCCACTGCACGGCGACAAATGGCTTTTCGTTCCTGCAAGGACGTTGCGGGTGCCATCCTAGTGCCGACGAGGATCATTGTCCATATCCCGTTTCTTCACGACGTGAAGCAAAAGCTTCGCATACGCCGCCGCTGTAGCGGCTGCATACTCCTGCCAAACGTCGTTCTTCTGATCATCACAATAATCGCTAATGCCGCGGATCACAAGGCAAGGGAGTGCGTTAACCACCCCGGCGGCTTCCATCTCGAAGCATATAGCGTTGAGTTTCTCTGCCTGCTCATCGCGGAACCCAGCATCTTTGATGACTTGATTTCCCGATGCAATCCTTCCGTAGTGAACCTTGGGTTCAAGGGTCGGGCGCGGATCTCGCTGCGACGGCATATGCTGGTGCTGTTGGGGGCATTGCTCTCCCGACGGCGGGCATTCGAAACATGATTGGAAAAGAACATCCTGGTCCTCTCCTTGGTGGCAAAACAGCTTAGAAACTTTGGAGATCGTATCGAGGTAACACCTAAGCCGATCACTTTGTGGGCTCGGATTTGCCTTCAATTGAGTACTGATAGCATTCATCAGGAAGTCCGGTGGGCACCGTAATGTTTTTTGTTTCATTTCAAAGCCTCCCCTCTTCCTTTTGCCCAGGTCATATTGGACCACTTCTTCGCCAACAACCACATCACCAAGGCGAATATCGTTGTCTCGCGAAGGCACGCCGCCTCCAATCCCAACTAAGAGACAGAATCGGAGATTGAACGCGTGTTTCATAGTAGTCGCAGCACACGCCGCTTCGTTGGTCCCGCAATTGGAAAGACTTGTGGCGACGACCATGTGGTGCTCTACCTTGCCAAACACGTAGCGGTCGTCGTCTGGGACATTCTCAGGGGGGTCGTAGTTCTCGTCGAAGAGCGCCCGAACTGCCATCAATTCCTTCGGCAACGCGCACAAAATCCCCACCGTATAAGCATGTTTAGGATATGTTTGGTAGGCTAGTTTTGACACATTAGGAGGCATAGAGTTGTTGCAGGCGCCGGTTGTTGGGAGCTCCATTGATCCAATGCCTAGATTTGAAAAAGACGAGACATGGCACTCAGATTCAGACGACGTCTGAGATGAGCCAATTCCGCTATCACTAGGCGACTTCAAGGCTGGCAGCTTCGAGGCCGGGTCACCAAGCTGGCCTTTTCGTGGGAGATGCAAGTCGTCCCAGATCCATGAGAATTGCGAACTGTGCCCAAAAATGAGAGCGCCGTCATTTGGCAGTTCGTCCCCTCGAGGGTTTAAAGATTCAGATAATGATAAAGACAAGGGGAAAACGGCCTGGACCGGCTCACAATTCCTTTGCTTCGAGCCATACTGGCATTGACAGAAAACGAGTTCGGACGGGGTATGCCAAATCAAGTTGTCACTGAGCCGGATGTGGCCGTCGCTCAGAAATCCATGCTCTTTGAACACCCGGTCCAAATCAGAAACACATACAGCGATATAATATCGGCCCGTAGGTAAGCTGGCCCATCTGCTGCACGTTTCCACATCCGGCTGTATAATATCGCCGAAATCACGCCCAAACAACGTGACAGCTTGGATAGCCCTCGTAAAGTCTACCCAACCTTTGCCGTGGGGCTCGATCTCGGCAACACGCGGATGCAAAGGGTCCTGGTCCATCCCGGCCACATCTTCAAACTCCCAGCCTTCAAGATGTCCTCGTGGTTTATTGCTCAGTTTGATGCCACATGGTCCCGCAATGTCGGTTTGGTGTTCGATGAGATGCTCTAACAGGCTGCACAAATCCTCAATCTTGCTCTTCAATTTAGTACCATCGCTATACAAAAGGAGTTCCTTGTTGTGATGGTTGTTCAACGTCTCAAAGGCGGACATGGCGGTTAGAGGCCCGCCTGAGTTTTGGAAGTCCTCGCTCTTAAACATAACCGCGGTTTTGTAGGGGCCCTGCAGAAATGCTTGCAAGGCAAATAACAGAGCAACTGTGCCGCTCACTATCCAGCCTCGCTCGCCGTCCTTATCCCAAAGGAGCACGGACCGGGTTTTCAGGAACTGTAGCCGTTCAACATAGCCATTGGAGAGCCAATCCGGCGACTCCCTGGCACCTATAGAGACAGCCGGCCCAATCGTCACGGTTCTTCTCCGCTTAACTGTCTTCCCAGTGAGAGCGCCGCCTGGTTTCGGCTTCCCAAGCCTTGAGTGCTTGACAGACGAACCTACAAACCATCTTTTTTAGTTACAACACTTGCAATTGATTGGAGTGGAAGGGGTCTCACCAATGACGAGCTTCGCTCTCGAACACCATCCGAGCACATGGCGTTTATTCTCTAGGAGATCGAGTCGACCGACTTCCTGGTCTTGATCCAGATCATTATCGAGATACGAGATTCGACTTCCGTCCCTTTTATAAAGAAGATGCCAGAACACAATATCCCCACTGCGCCGGACCGGGACCAACATCGTCGAGAAGCCTTTTAGGCAGATCTTGTCGTTGAACTCCTGAAGCTCCAGTGCTTGAGCGAGCATAGCCATAATATCGAGAGGAATCTCCAGTCCCGTGTTCCACTCGCCTCGTTGAGGAATTGGATATCCCCTCACGATTACAGGGGCTTTGAAAACAGCCTGCCAGCACTGGCCATTGGTAGCTGGCGTTACTGGGATCTTCTCCACGTCAATTGTAATCTTGCAGGAAATCCCGGGTGAGCGCGGCTTGGCTTGAGACTGAGACCAATGCAAATCTTTCTGCAACATACTGATCGTTGGCGTACAGTAGAAGACTCCGCTCTGTTCTGGTGGAGTTTTCATAGCTGCCCCTAGCCAGGCCAGCTGTTCTCCGATCTCCGCGATGGTGGCCGCAACCCCGTAGCTTTCTGCCAGCAGTTTGGAATTCCTCACATAGACTCGAAGTGTCGTTCCATCTGACAGCGTGCCTACAGACGAGTTTGGTGGTAAGTTAGGGGCTAACGATCTAGGTTGTTCTTGCACAAAAAGCACTCACGTGGTGGCGGATCGCTCTGGTTGTCCTTAAGAACCCCCTCCATCAAAGCAATAATGTCCTCCGCGGTAGAAGGCCAAGTCTGGCCTAGATACTGAGCGCAAGTCGCCGCTTGTGCATCCAGAGAAGACCCAGTCAAAGTGACAATGCCTCGAAATGCTTCATGCGGTGGTGTCGAGTACCCTTGCTTTTCGAAGAATTCAAAAATGTCCCAGTCAACCTCAAATGTTGCGCCGTAGCTTTGAGAAGACATCCTCTTGCTAATTACACGAGAAGAAGGGAGTGCCGACATGATCTCTTTACCGATCATTTCCATACCGTATGGTTCCATCGGCACAAGGCGAATTTCATTTCGTAAGCGTGCAAGGAGCCATTTAAAAGCTGGGGTTGTAATTATAAACTCACAGTAATCCTGAATCCAGGGTTCAGTCACATCTTCGTCCTCAGCCGATTCGTCTGACTCCTCAATCTGCTTTGTAGACTTGGGCATGTGTTGACAGTTGACTGAGTTCGAATAATCTTCCTCGGGCATAGTTTGTTCGAAATTTTCGCTGTTGACCCAGTCGCTGACGCGTTCCTTCCTGTAAACATCGTCTAAGTCGGGCATTTCCTTCTTGATAATAGTTTGTCGGTCAAACCCAGTGTCCGCGAAAGCTGCAGCAATCTCGCTAAAGATTCCATATGTGTTAGAACAGCCAGCTCCTATCTCCACGGCAATAAAGGTTAGGTGATTGTAGACAGGTGTTCACTCACTGCCTTCGTTTGTGCACAAAAGCCATAACATCTCTATGCATCTTATCAGAGGCTCCATGGCCAATCTTTAGCGCAAAAGCTCTGAGCATCTCAGGTAAGGCTTCTGAGACCCGACTCTGTGTCTCCCGGCTCAGGCACAAAGACCGAATCTCGCTGGCCAGAAGGCCCGCCAGCTCCGAAACATAATACTCCCACCTAGAAAAGGTTGTGCTAGATGCGTCTGGATATATAGTGGCGTTCGTATCGTCAATAAACTCATTTGTCGATTCTTGAAATGAGGGATCGGTAGCCGGGTCACCAGATTTGTTTCCCTTTGAGGACGAAGCATATCCCGAGTCAGTTGGAGGGTCCGTGTAACCGTGCCGATGCACTGCAGCAAACTTCGCTTCGTTCTCGAGAGACACTTTGAGCAGTGTTTCACATCTTTTCCGTAACCGTAAGGCCCAAGGAAGGGTTATTTCGTCAACCTCGCTACACCCCTTGATATCCACTCCAGCCCGCAGAAGTAGCCTAACCAAGGTTTCGTCGCCTCCCTGAGATGCCAAACGAAGGGCCCGGTGGCCAATCTTATTCTGACTCTCGACATGAGCTACCTTATCAATAAGGAGCTTCATCACTGCCCCATGCCATTTGGCAGTAGCTAAGCACAGAGCTATATCACGACAGGATCTACAAGCTTCGAGATCTCCACCTATTATGTCGACAAGAATTTTGACAACCTCCTTAGGGCCGTTGACTACAGCGAAAATTAGAGAGTCCGGGACGTCAAGCCCCAGTTCGATTCCGATCCATAAGAGCCACAGGAAGTCCATCTGACTCGTGTCTTGACTGTGGCAACGATTGTCATTTTTCACAAATGAATTGCGAAACTTTAGCCAAGATCCGATACGAAGAAATTGGACAAACTCGTGCTCCGGTATTATCGGGCCTGCAGCCTCTGCATGACAAAAAAGTTGCGAATTGTCATTTTTAAGTTGAGGGAAGCTGTTCAAAATCTTGGCCTGCATATCTTTTTGTTTTTTCGACTCAAAATGGATTTCCAAGGCTAGCGGGATCAAAGGTTCGATGTTTACTCTCTTATACTGATAGCCGCTTTCCTTGAAACGGTGATGAATAGAGGCTGCAAAATCTTGCCGGCAGTCAGGCCATAAATCGCGTATACCATTCTCTTTGATATGATAATCCCATACCGATTCATAAATCAAGTGAACCTCTCGGGAGGTTTTGAAATAAGAACGTTCTGCGAGGCCCATCAACGAGCTCAACAAAGATTGACGCAAGTCTTCAGGAGTAAAACGATCCTGATCCTGGTAAAGATTATATATTTGGTAATATTGAGGAGATATTCGGAGAGGGCGTGTAGAATGGAAAGATTTAGTTGCCCTCAGCCTCCGGGTCAGATCATGCAAAGGTAACTGATCTTTAACGAATTCCGGATATCGAGTGGCCATTTCCGGGGAGTGTTGGGTCATCTTGAAAAGGATATTTGGTACTTGGCTTTGAGTTCTTGTATGACTTGCTCGAAGCTCTGCTATGGCAAAAGAAGCTGCTTGGGGGGGTCGAGTGCGAGATCCTATGCGAGAAAACTCGCCTTTTGGCAGCGTTTTGCCCATCTCGTACCGGATTACCTCCTCGCCGACAACAACGTCGCCAGGCTTAACATCTGTCTCGCGCGTTGGAGCTCCACCACCAATTCCAACCATGAGCCATTTCTTGATGGATGGGAAGCTGCGTGACATGTCCGTGACGGCGCCATCAAGAACGGTCTCGATGTAGTAGGCTTTTGGAAGACATGCGATGACGATGTTATGGGTGCCAATACTTCCCAAAGTGTAGCTATTTGTATCCCCAGGTTTTCGGGCTAGCGGCTTGTGTATATATTCCAGCATGGCGGTTACTACTGCTAACTCAGCCGGAAGGGCACAAATCCAACCCACATCGTAATCCTCAGGTGCCAAACCTTTATTCGATCGGCCATGGATCGGTCGTGGAGGTGTTCGCAGTTTGTTGAACGATTCTTCTTCGCCGGTTCGGGGATGTATTCTGTTTTTCGAAGCCATAGTTTAGGATGCTCAACTGTTTCTCCCACCGTCGGAGTGAATATCGTCAGCTGCGGATTTTAGGATACTTGAGCGAACCTTGGACGGCTGTCGCTACCATGGAAGCGGAAGGGAACAGAGGTGAGGAGGCGAATGATGAAGCGGGGGAGGGAGCAATTTGCCTTTAAAGAATTCTGGGCTGACATGCTGTTGAGCATCAGCCACATTCTCGGTATGCTTCACTGAGGCTAGCTGAATGAATGGCCGAACTAATGGCTGAAGTGTGCCTAATCCAGCCAATCTACGGCGCTTCCTCTCATGCAGCACGCAAGTGACTAGGCCCAAGGCGACCAGTCGAGCATCTGCCACAGCCACAATACTACGCACACCAGATATTTCCCTTCGTTTCATTGGAAGCTTATGTGCCATAATGATAGAATGTCAGCTTTTGACAGATTTTCACGTAGGCTCAGAGGAAATACCGAGTGGCCGACACCTCATGGCTGAACAGAAAATAGTGCACCGCTGTCGGTAGAGATGATTCAGCTGCGATGGTGATTGGGAGAGCTCGCAGCAATTTATACATGCAGGATATTCTGAATCATTTTCGGCAATTATGAGGAGATTGAAAGAAGGGTCAAAGATTTCACTAGAAGACAAGTAGAGTGGGAGAGGGCAGAGGATTAAATATCAAGCACATTTCAGCGCAGCTACCCTAAACACCAAGATGTTACTTTCGACGCGTGGTTAGAATGAAGAAGGGCGACCGTCACTACCGTTTTGTTGTCCAGTAGTAATTTGGGGCAACGACTATTTTACAACTTACCGCATTTACATTAATTCTAGCCTAAACGTACCACGAACGTTCCTTGATCATTACGGTTTCCTTTCATGAGATAAGAATCCTGTCATGTTTACGGACACTGACTCAATACAAAGCAGCTGTGGATTCCGCACAAGCTTCACCCGATCTCTCGAGGTATTGCAATAATCAAGTCTATCTCAACTCAACTAACTTCGCAGAGCGTTGCTCATTTCTAAATCACCGCCAGGAGTAAAAAGAAATAGTGAAACATATGTGCAAGTGATACATTGATGTTTAGGGATATAAACCCAAGTTCAGTCAATATTTTATCCAAACCTAGGTAGTCTCAACATCGGCCGTGGCGTGGCACCATTCTAACCCAAAAGTCCCTTGTGAATTTAAAGCCCAGATGGAAATGTTGCATGGCTTTTCAATGTTGTCGATGATCTCTCTCCGCTTGTTCTACCCTATGAGTGCACTACCGAGCTTCTCAGAGATAAGTTTGGTCAAACTTCCTCCCACGATGTTTCGGTTCCTGTCTTCGTCCAGAGCTGATCCGTCGATTTTTTTTTTGATGAAATTTTTTTTTTTTTCCAATTCGGGGGCTTTTCCAAATGGCGGATGTATTTGGATCGAATAATTACGCCTTTCATGGCTCACCAACTGAACATGGCAAAAATCCTCATTTATGGGTGGCTCGATTGCTTGTAGTGCGATGTATGAGCATAATTCCTACGGAGTGCAAACATTACCTTGCTGGTTGTGGCGCAGGATACGTGGCTCTATTTTTGTCACCACACCAGTGTGTTCTCTGCCTGTTTGATGTCTTTTCTGCATTTGAAGGTGTCGTCGCAATAAACTAAGTCGCTAGGCAAGGGTGAAGTTGGTGGATATGCACTCTAGAGGTCTTTGAGCCACTTAGCAACCAAACTATTGATACTAGCCAACAACCCAGGTCTGATTTCGTCAATACCGACAACATTGCCGTTGAATTTTTGGATATTTCAGACGAGGAATTTGAAGTGTTTAGAGGGGGGGATTTTTTCGAAGAGCCCATGACATTCCCCCTTGACTTAGACATTAGGTAAGGTAGAAATTTGGCTCATCTTCTCAATATTTCCATTTTCGTAATTATTACCATAGAACTTCCTTCTTGCTTGCTCACAACTATAATTTCTCGGAAAAAATCCGACATCGCCAGTTATGCGACACAGATTATTGCATGACCTTGATCATGCCGTTTAGCGTACACACCCGAAGCGCCATGTCTTTAGCAGGTGACAATCTAGCGAATTACGAATGTTTCGGATAATCACAGAGAATGCGGTGGTCTGACGGCAATTTCAATAAGAAATGGGCTGTGAAAGCTCGGGTGCCGGCCGAGCAAACGGACGATCCAATGCTTAAACTGGATAGCCAGAGGCCTCCAAGTCGCCAAGCCAGGGTAGTGGTAGGAAAATGGGGCAAAACTTAGCAGATTGGAATTCAGCCATGCTGAGTTACAGAATCAGCGGGAGGACTGATCACACTCTTCGAGGCATTGTCGCAATTCGTTCTTAACAAAGAGCCAAACTTCATGTTGAAATAAATCACATAGTATAAGAGACTCGAACAGGGCTAGGCAACAAATACATCCCTCTGATTGATTCCCACGGGCATCACAGCGTTCGCAACAATTTCGGAACCGGCCTTTCTTTTCGTGATTGCATTAGATTATATGTAGTTATCCTCTATGTCGCTCATTGAAAAACACCATCATCATCTCATCCCCAACTCGTCATGTCAACTTATTAGACTGCTTGACAGGATACGCCGCCATCCTCGACCTGCGACACATGTACCCATACATCCACGACAACCCATGATTGACCAGCGAGAATCCAATCAGGCATCCTATGACGGCCAAACCGTACCAAGTCCACGGCCTATCGCCCAGCCACATGAGAACGTGGGCATCTCCAGTATGCCAGGTACTGCTCTCCAGGTCGGTGATGTACGGCAACATCTGGTGAGGGGTCACCACGTTGAAAGTCGGCGAGGGTCGGGCGGGCAGGTGTCGGAGGTAGTCGGAAATCACCAAACTGATAAACATCGGTCCGGAGGAGAACATGATATTGCTGTAGGGCTGGAGGCGGGCCCAGAATCGCGTCCAGCGGTAGTAGAAGGGCAGCTCGGAGATGGCCTGGTAGAGGGCCGGGTGCTTGGCGGTCGAAATCATGACGTCGTTGGTGACACCCGTGGGCTTGGTCGACTGGAAGAGGGCGCGGTGCTCCGTCTCGGAGCTCACGTCGAAGATGGGGAATTGCTTGACGCACACGGTGTCCATGTCGAGGTAGATGCCGCCAAAGTGGTAGAGGACGAAGTAGCGGATGGCGTCTGCGCGCTGGATGGGGAATGCGTAATTGTCCCAGAGGTCCACGAACCAGGGGTACTCGGTGGCTAGAAATTCATGCGCGGACTCATCCGTCCAGAGCTGCAAAAGGGGTCAGAACAATTCTTTTCTGCGGTTCCTGTGCGGGAAAATCCCCCAGTGGGATGGGGGGACGGGATGCTGGTCGGGGCTTACCATGTATGTGAAGTTTGAGTAGACGTCCTGGCAGCTGCGTTGGGAGTCGATCCATTTCTGCGGAATGGTGTCGTTGGGGGTCGTCTGGTGCAGGATCCGTGGAATTTCAAACTCGCCTGAGTCCGAGTCCTCGCTGCTCAACACGGAGCCGCCAGGCATGGCCCGGGGCCCGAAGAGCTCCTCGTTTCGCGTCAGGAGGATGATCAATGGGCCGACGAGCCAGACGAGGAACGCGATGATGGACAGGTCAATCACCACCAGGGTGAATGAGAACTTGAACAGCCTCTTGGGCGAGAGGCATCGCAGCAGGAACAGGCGGCGCTGCTTGATGGAGGGCTGGGGCTGCTGCTCCTCGAGGCTCACCTCTTCATAGGAATATTTGTTGGTCGCCATGCTGGTGGTGGTTCGTCAACATGGGGAAGGTTGTGGAAAAGCTTGAAAAAAGCTTGGCTCTTCCGTCGTGGGGGGAAGCGGGATAAAATCCAAGTCAACGCAACGTCATATTGATAGGATAGATCCCAAGGTAGGATCCTGCAAAAAGGAATTTCCTTGGGTGGGTATCCTGGCTGAGGCCGTAGCGCGCTCCTTATTTTGGAGGAGCAGCATGACTCCGCGGCCCAGGAGACGAGCCATGGACGTATTGCGTAAGACCACACGCATCCATGTGAATCGCGATTTCATATATCGAGCAGCTACCCCAATCTAAACGAAATGACCCCCTAAGGGCCTAGTAACTGGACCCTACTTTGCATCATACGATCAGGTGCCTTATTGGGCGAGCTGGAGGGGAGAGAGGCAGAGCGACTAGCACTGCATAAGCCACCGGAAGCTCCATATTTACAGTGCGTACGCACGCTGCTCAGCCTGTGTCGCATGCAGGACGGAGCAGCGATGATCTGTGAATGGCTGAGCCTCGAGTGTGTGTGCCTGTGTGTGCCTGTGCGGCCGGGCTGTTTGGCTACAGTCAGATTAGAGTGCCAGGCCCAACGGTCTGTGTGACGGAGGCCGCGTCATGTGCTGATGCGTAGCGCCTTTTGGCCCTCTGCTCCTTTTAAAATGAGCCCTCCTCGCTTGAGATGCCACTTGCGGCAGACGCCCCCGGCTGTTTCTAGTGGGGGACCCTGACCACCAGAGCAGAGATTGAAATTATCCTTAGGCTTGTACGTCATTGGCGAGGCCAGCATGGATTTAGCAGGCGTAGGGCCAGCCGAAGAAGCCGAGCAGTCCGGTGTGTCCTACCCGCGCATCGGTTTTGGACAATCTGAGATGCGAAGACCGAAAACATGCGAGGCGATGCGAGTCATGCCACGGGCCGCAGCCACTGGAAAACTGCCCTCGGCGGAGTCGCAACTGTCTTAAGATAAACTCGCGGAGTGGTACAACATGAATTGTGGTGCGTTTCACTCCCTGGTGTGGCCCAGCGGGAAATACAGGACGCCGACAGCCCGAAGAGGAGCCTCGCCATCCTGGTCGAAACAGATGGCACCCAATGATTGCCGTCCAACTCGATGAGGGAAGCCGTAGTTCGGGAGCCATGACCTCCGATTTCCTGTCGCCATCATTTCAAGGGAGGCCATGTGCTCCAGTGCTCATTTTTAGCAACGCGTCCCCTGCCCTCATTATTATGCCCCAACTCTATTGCCTGTCTCACATGTGCAGCGGTAGAAGGGGGAGAAAAAAAAAAAAAAAAAAAAAAAAGGTACCGCGCGGTTCTCGGTAGCCAGTGGACGTGCCCTCCTCCTTACTCCTGCATACCCAACTGGAAATCAATCTTGGCAACATCTTGGCAGAGGTCACTCCGCTTATTTGGAAAGATTTTATCCGCGCATTGAATTAAAACTTAAATACTGCTGCTAAATGTATGGTTAGGTATGGTCCTCAGTCGGTCGGCCGCTGCCTACAGAAAGATAGTCAAATGATCAACTTCTTGGCGAGCCACTACACCAACCAAACTGCAAATCGAACTCTCCTGCCTCAGTATGTATAAAGGTGAGATTCAATGTCATGGTAGAGTCGAGTCAAGCGCGATTCCCAAAAGCATACTACCTTGGCTATGCATCGCCGTACTATGGTGATAGTCTTCACTTCTCCACTATGCTTAACTTCAAAAGACGGTGACCTGAACAAGGAGCTCGATTATCACAGAACTTGTAATGATGAAGATGATTGCGTTTAGAATCAATCTAGACCCAACTTGCGACTTCTATCTTCTCAAAGAGGGTGACTGGACGCGAATCTACTTGCGTCATCTGAATTAGATCTCTCAAACTCGACCCAAGGAGATTGTCGGAGCTCCGAAGAGCCATTACATCCTAAGCATCATCGAAGGGAATGTGGCTGCTGGCTGAACCATACGTGATCATCCCATGAGCAGGCAAGCATCGATCCTAGACCCCGGAGTTCCTCCCAGAGATACGGTGAGCGATCTCAAGTCCACAAACGTAATCTTGCCATGTAACATTCCGACCGTGGAGGGCTCCCCAGCTGCGGGGTACACTTGGCACACGACATCACAGCCAACTTGCTCTGCGATTGAATGTTAGACGTAGATGAGAGATTTGTGGATAGCTGGCGGCCTGCTCTGTAAGAATGATCGATTCATTATTTTAAGTATGTGTCTAGAACCATGGTTGCTGAAGACTCTCTTCCTCAAGAGGCCATAACGTGATATCTAGTTCAAGGTAATCAACACATAGAACTCGGGTCTCTCTCATCTCGACTTCGCTTCGGCCTTCCTTCGCTTTGCTCTGTAGCGAGATTTACAGACTGTCAGACTGTTTTGTATTGGTAAGCGGAAGTTGTCTTGTCGGTCATGATCTTCTCCGTGTGGGTCAAACGTCTCATGTGGGCCTGATGCAAGAGAGGAGGAGTGGAAGACATTGCATCTGTGTTTCTTTGGATCTTCTGTTGCACAGACAAGCAGTTATCCATAATGTTCTATCATAGACACACAATTTCCAGTTGTTTATGTCAAAAGAATAAGACACACTGTCAGATTTGAATATGATAAAAGACTGCTTAACCAGTATAGTGTCGTGATCATGAATTTCGCCTGGTCGGTTATCCTGAATTGGACAAATTGCAGGGGGTAATATCAACGTTAAAATCTGCTTTCCATAGATGCCCGCTCTGCATCTACCGAGCCTGACTCTTCGCCGAGTTTAGAAACTGGACAACTCGGCCACGTAGCTTCATACAAGCAAGAAAACCTGGAACGATTGACTATTGAATCAGATTATTACCTCAAAAGGTTGGGCACAGAAGGAATACTCAACAAGGCTGGGCATAAATGATGCAAGATACTGTCATCATGAATGAGACAACTTAGACATGAACTAATTCCCTCGTCGATTGAAATTGCCCTGTTTAGCCAGTTGTCTTTTCCATAATGCTTGAAGAGATTCTTACTTCCGCCTTTCAGCAAGCCACTGCAACCATAAAGTCACAGTACGTAAAGGTGTATCATTTCGTAAAGTTCGACACCTTGCCAGACGAGTATGATACACGTATATGAACTTCAAGGGTATAGATTCAGCTTTTGGTCTCACCAAAGGGGCGAAGGTAGTATTGTTTTTCCTGCATTCTCGTGGATAAATAGCTTTGGCCTGGCAAATAACTATGACGAAGTCTCTTTAGCCAATAAATTGGACGCCCCTTTCTCACGAAGTATGCCAGCAAGCTTAATGCCCACGTCCTCTGCCTCCTCGTCGCTGCGAACGAGCGCCGAGAACTCAGCAGTAACCCCCGTTGTACCCTCCACATCGAGAACTGTGCCAGACAGTCGAAGTTCGCCACCCTCTTGGCTTCCATAATCCTGCACGTCTAGTTTCCCATCCCCCTCAGAAGTTTCAAACGTTGAATGAACGCCTATTGGAGACGAGCAGCCTCCCTGCAGAGTTCGCAGCATCGCCCTTTCGGCCATGGCAAGCCATCGTGACTTCTTATGATCCGCCGCTTGAACGAGCTGGAGTGTATCTTGACAGTCCGTCTTGATTTCGACACCAAGCGCGCCTTGGCCGACAGCGTACGGGAAAACTTTGGGATCAAGCCTGTGTGTGATTCGGTGCCCAAGGCCCATTCGTACCAATCCTGCGGTTGCTAGTAGAATGCAAGAGAATTTGGAGTCGACCGCATCAAGCTTAGCAAGGCGGGTGTCTCTAACGTGGCATGTCAGCTTAATGGTCTTCTCGGTATATCAATATTTTTAGCACAATCTTTCCGTCCAAGTACTCACACATTTCCACGGCACTCCGCGACCTCCAAATGAGGCCAATTGTGCCGAATCAGCGCTCTCCTTCTTGACGAGCTCGACCCAACCACAGAGCCAGGCGGCAACTGGTCGATGGTTTTATACTTGGAGTCTGTTCTCATAATCACTGCATCAGTTGGTTCTTCGCGCTCGGGAATAGCCCCAAGCAGACAGTTAGGCGGCAGTGTTGTCGGCATGTCCTTGAGACTGTGGACGAGGAGATGGGCCTTGCCAGACAACAGATCCTCCTCCAGGCCGTTCGTCCACAGGCTCTTGCCGACGTCGGACCCGCCCGTCTGCTGGGAGAGCTGCATGAACGGGGTCTGCTTGTCCGCATCGCCCACGACGCTGCGAGTGGCGATTTCGAATGGAGGGGGCCGTGCGAGGGCTTTCTCAAGCTTCGATACGATGTAACGGGCCTGGATGAGAGCTAGTTCCGATTTGCGGCATCCAACGACCACCACCTCAGAACCAGAGGAGGTGAGAGGAGGGTTTTTCAAGTCGGCGCCAGCGCCTTCAGTGTGTTCCTTTCCATCCTTGTCTTGATCGTGGCTCATAGTTTCGTGTTTGTGGTTTTCGTGGATGTGTTTATCGCATTTGAAGGTTCTAAAAAGTCTGCGCCGCTTAATAATTGAAGTTGAGATGGTGGTGCTCGCTCCGGTATCGCCCTACCCTGTACCTGTACCTTGGCCATTCACTTCTCTAACGTCAGTTCAGTGCAAAGAAAGAATTATTCATATAGATCTGTGTACATGCTATAGTCTATGCAAGCTTTTGCAGCTGGCTTCATTACAGTTCATGTTTTTTATTATCGAAAGCCGGAGTGTTCTCAAGGTTCCATCGCAACCTTGGAGTGAGAGTGTACATGTGCTGAAAAGCAAATGCTCAGTTTAACACGCGCTGCCCAGACACTTGCACGGAAGTAATGTTCTCTAATTCACTGATTAAGCGAATTCACCCATAGGATCTTTTCAATACTACTTGCCCCTCAATTTTCGGCGAAATTATTTCCGGGTGCAAAGAACACTGGTCAAATGATCAGTGCATGTTGTCGTGGTCCATTGGCGTTGGGGGATCAACACCTGATCGGCTTTTAGCCGAGAACATTTGCTGATACGACTTGCCTAGTATCTCTAATGAGGAGTTCGTCACCCATCTGTGATGCAGAAGGGGAGTTCCGAAGGATGGGGGCGCATCGCGGGGTAATGGCATAGCTAATGACCCGAATGATCGTAGACGCCCTGTCGGCCATAAGGCGTATCATCTATATAAAGGAAAGGAAAGGAAAGGAAAAGTATAGCTTGTCTTGCTAATCCTCCAACCTAACTTATCATCACGATGTTGACATATCTTATAATACCCTTGCTTGTAGCAAGTTGTGCGAGAGCGCACCCCATCAATGACCTTGAAAACTTATTTGACGAGAATATTTATGCGCGTCTTTGGAGAACTGCTTTGACCGGGCCACCGCAGTCTGGCTCGGAGAGTGCATGGCCACACTATACCCAAGGAGCCTATAACAACACACCGCAGTCAAGCACTGCTGCAGGAGTGTACACCAAGGCTCAGGCTTCCGGTTGGACCTCAGGGTTCTTCCCTGATGCATTATGGCAGGCCTACCGCCGCCGCAAGGAGTTGTTGCCTCACAGCTATGCAAAGGGGCCCTCATTGAACGAATGGTTGGATATGGCTCAAGCGTGGACAGAACCACTCAAAAGCAATATCAACGTGACTTCGACCCACGATCTTGGTTTCCTCGCAAAGCCTTTCGAGAGTGCCTTGCAGATCACTGGAACCGATGGATATCTCCCAGTTCTCAGAAACATGTCCTTAAATCTAGGGAATCGCTTCGTACCTGGTGCCGGTATCATCCGCTCTTGGGACTGTAGTAATTACGTCTCGTCAACCTGCAGCCACGAGGATTCCGTCCTTGTTATTATCGACAACATGATGAACCTGGCTTTGCTTGCACGATCGGCAGCAGACTACACCCGCAACACGACCTTGCTCGACATCGCAAAGTCCCACGCTGATAAGACAATGGCCAACCATGTACGCCCAGACGGCTCTTCGTTCCATGTATGCGACTACAGCGCAACCTCGGGCGACGTATACCTTTGCCGGACAGCACAGGGCCTTGCCGATGACAGCACCTGGTCGCGAGGCCAAGCATGGGGCATCTATGGCTTTGCGGAGTTCTATTCACTGACCAAGGACAAGGCTTATCTGGAGACCGCCATCCGCATGGCCAACTGGTTCATTGACCATCTCCCAGAGGATGGCCTCCTCTTTTGGGACTTCAATGCAGAGAACATCCCCGACACAACACCTAGAGACAGCAGCGCAGCGGCTATCGCGGCCAGCGGGATGCTTCTTTTGCAAGAGCAGATTGAACTGAAGGGTTATAAAGGCGCCAAATATGACTACCGTGCGAAAGCGGTGCGGCTCCTGAAGGCGTCTATTAAACTCGCTTTCGCTGGTGAGATCAGCTTTTCTGACATGGGCGAACTGGGTGCCGAGACATTCATTGACACGCCTGCGAATACTCCAGAGACGAAAGGTTTCGAGAGTATTATGCTACACGCCACTAGCAATAATAACCCCAAGGTTCCTAATCGAAATTTTGACACTGGCCTCAGCTATGGTGATTTTTATCTGGTCGAGGCTGGGAATAGGCTGTTGGAGTCTAAGCCAGAGAAGACTTTGGTTGATGCACTGTAAATTGAGTAGTTGTGAGCTGGCTGTGAGCCTAACTTGGGACGAAAGGGTTTTACTCCTCTGAGTGCTAGGACCAGAACCCAGATATGCTTATTGATGGCACTTTAAACTTGAATATTTCATCCAGCAACAGATAAATCCTGCGTGTCATTGTATGCGACTTTATACATTGTGATAATGCGACCCGGTGATATTAGGCATAACTATTCGTTATGAGGAAAAAAAGTCTCCTTTCACGTCTCCAGGGTTTGGAACATTGATATATCTTTCTTCGACTCAACAGCGATGTGTCAGTATCAGTCACAGGTTGCTTTCCTCTCAAAAGCCTCTATGGCGGCCGGTGAGGGTCTTTCGCTCCAAACTAAAATAGCACCGAGAGGTCAATAGTATCAGTAAACTCATTCTACGAATCGGCATCTCTATCTCTCTATAATCAAGTTCTACACCCTCATCACTACCGAGCATGTCCAAGTAGCTTGTGCTACTCTGTCCACCTATACCATCTTTATTCCCCCTTGCTACGCCGATCCCATCTCTCGAGGAGTTGGCGTGTATGATACCGGCGCCTGATGCGTGCGATCGAGATTGCAGTGGCACCATCATGGTTTTGTAGAGCTACATCGACTTTCCCAGACTGTAGAAAAATCTTGACAGTACGAAACCCCCGGGACGATGCCGCAGCAACCATGAGCGGTGTGAATCCCGTATCATCCTGCACATTGGCATCGATATCTTCCCGCTGTAAGAGATATGCAACGATATCCTCAGCATGAAGGCGGCAAGCGTGATGCAGCGCGGTCTTGCCCCACGAATCCACTTCGTTGATATCAATTAGCCCCGAGTCCAGCAAAAGTTTCGTGATTGGTAGGCTCCGGGCATATACCGCGCGTGTGAGTGTTTCCCGACTGACCTCAACGAATCTTTGGACGGACGTTGATTCTATAGATTCCATTATGAGTTCCAAAGCGGATAAGTGACCTTGATCAAGAGCAGATGAAAATGCCGTGGCGCCATTGTTACGCCTTTCCCACACATCGATCCTCCCAGTGTCTACCAAACACCTCATAACTGCACTGTGGCCATTTTCAGAAGCCAGCATAAACGGCGTGCACCCCTGAAATGTCCTAGGGTTGGGATCTACTCGGCCTGAATCCAAAAGCAGCTCGACAATTGATAGGTGACCTTTTTTACAGGCCCAAGCAAGTGGCGTGTAATCATCAAAGCGACCCCTAAAATCAACGACCACATTTTCCATACCAATCAGCATCTTCACCACATCCAAAAAGCCTTCCGCTGCAGCCAGTGAGAGCGCTCGGTGCCCTCTCCAATTCGCATGGTTTACATCCACGCCGTCTTGGTCGAGGAGCATCTTGGCAATATCTTCATGGCCCTTATCAATCGCGAGCATAAGTGCGGAGCTGTTGTCGGCGGTATATGAATCAAGCTTGACCTTGCCCGAGCTGAGCAGCAGCTTTAGCATGCTCTCGTCGCCCAGTCTGACAGCTGCCAATAGCGGCGTCTCGCCCTGCTCACTGTCTCGGAAGTTCCCATCGGCATTGCCGGACGACAGTATCAGCTTGGCCATTTTCTCGTCTTTATTCTGTACCGAGCGCCATAAGGCTTCGCCCCCCGAGGCCCCGGCGTTGATTGCCTTGATTGCCGTTTCCTCTCTGCCATGAATGACGGCCCATGTCAGAGCTGAGCCGCCGGAGTCGTCTACATTGCGGCGGTACAGTGTGCTATTGAGGGCGTCGTGGAGCTGGTGATTGGTCCGGACGAGCGCATAGATGTCCCGTTGCGTCTCGAGGCATAAGGCGATGGCTTCGAGCATTTCGTTTGGGAGGTGGAGCAGTGCAAGCGGGCGAGCCGATTGGTGAGATGAGATCATGGCGGGTAAAGGCTTGCCGACTGTGATAAAATTGACGAACCGATGGTACAAAAGCAGGATTGGCAAGTTAATATCGCGTTGGTTTTGAAATAACTTCTCTCGTCGTTTCATCGCACGGTGATGCTAGGCCAAAAAGACGGAAGTAGCCGCTCGTGCTGCACGTTAAATATGTACATTTCACCCAAATGTTGGATGATACGGTAGACTCACAACACAAACGGGCAAGATCCCGTAGTAAACTGGTTTGTGAGGGGACCCAGGTATGTAAACACTACTAGATTTAGGACTATATCAGTTTGATTGACTATACAAAGCGTAATTCTCTTCACAAAGTCCAGAAGTTGGGTAATGGCGACTGCATCCTATCGTCGCTGGGTGGTCTAGGGTATTCTGGACATTAGCACAAGGGACGGGAGGGAAGCGTTGCGCAGACAAAAGATCAATTATTATTAGGGCGGCAAAAACGTCACATAACATGCACACAAAGCCGCAATGCGTGCCGTCATAAGGCGAACCATCACAATGGAAACCAGATGTAGAAACAATCAAGCAATGCAATAAACTCATGCCATGAAGAAGCTTATTGTGCTGATCAGAGCGTGCTAAGCCATAACCTGCAGATCAGAGGCCGGGGTCCAACTTTAAGACAAAGTGACACTACGCTCGTCTCAGCAAGGCTTGGCTTCTCTATGGGCGGCCTCTGGATGATCCCAATGTTGGTGTCGCATTCCGCAGGTCTTCGAGGCGCAGGCGGATAAACAAACTGTCAATTTGATTGATAGATTGACAATTACTCTGTATCTGTGTGCGTATGCACATTGTGTAGAGTGTGTTGACTCGGAAATGATGCAGTTGTCATCTATATTTGGATGCAGGTTCGTCTTGTGTTGGTACCTTGTGTGATGCAGATGGGCTCGTGTGTCAATTTAATTGATGCCATCCGGTTGTGAGGGAGGGAAGGGAGATGGTACTTCTGATTCCAGGGCGGCATCGGTAGTGGTGTAGGGCGACGTAATGAAAGCGCTGCGCCGTGGCAGCACCAACAGCGACATTGACTTTCGTTTCTAAATTTGAGCAGCAGGGTCGCACCGTTGGCTACGTGCCATTGAAGTGCGTTTCAATTGCGCTCCTCGGTGTCCGACGGCGCATCACGGTTTGTTTCAACGGTTTGATGGAGCCACGCGAGGCAGTGTTGGAGGATGGTTACAGCGTGCTGGCTTGGTTGGCTGGCGGCTGCGGATTAGTAACGGCGGTCGCGTGAGTTGCTGCCCCAGAGCGTCTCTCATATTATTACTCAGGCCCGTCCAGGCACACAGCATTGCCTGAAGCAAAAAGAAAGGCCCGACCAGGGCACCTGCACGAAGAAGGGGGCGGAGATACGAGCAGCGCTTGTACTCTGGCCCTTCAGCTGGGCGGGGAGCTACCTCAACTCGGCTGGCAGCAGGGTAGGGAGCACGCTAGGATCGCTCTAGTGAAGCGTCAGCGCACAAGACAGCGGGGCCCTAGCGACTAACCCGCTGCTATAATTGGCTCCAGCGCATTTCTGGCGGTGGCTGCCCGCCCCAGCCACACGCGGATCGCTCTGGGCCAACTGAACCGCCTGCGCAGCGTATAACCAACGACCGACTGAGGCACCGTCTGAGACAGTTTTGCGCCTTCACGGCCATACGGTAAGCCTGCGTTTCCCACCGCCATAAGACGGGCAGGAGCCAAGTGACTGCGGCCCGAAACGGCCCACAAAGACTGCCTTGTCCACGCGTCAAATTCTGCTTCTTCAATCTAAAAAGCTGCCCCAGTCGTTCTGTCCCGGCCTGCCATTGTCCTGTCCTGCCTGCTCTCGCCTTCTTCCGACCGACCAACTTTATTTCCCCTGTTTTTCTATTCTTAATCTCCCGTCTCCCTCCACTCACATCCCTCCTCACGTGTGCACGCGACCTCAACCACCACAGCACGCGACCCAAGTCAATCAATGAGTTCGCCATGTATCGCACTCTAGAAAAGGTCCCTCCCGTCTCCAAGAGGTTAATTGCCTCCTATGTCCTCGACTGGGTCATCATCTTCGCTACCGCGGGCGCTGGCCTCGCCCTCGGTCGCTTCGAGCCGCACAAGCGCCATTTCTCCCTGATGGACCCTACCATTTCGTAAGGCTTCTTCCCTCAAGGCCAAGTTGACCCTACGTCACACTCAGTCGCTAATCGCTATACAGGTTCCCATACACAGAGAAGGAGCTTGTGCCCATCTGGCTCGCCGGTGTTATCAGTGGCGGCATGCCAATCGTTCTTGTCATCATTGTATCACTTGTCTTTGTCCCTGGGCCAACTGTGCCCGTTGGCACACCCAAGGCCGTCGTTTGGAGACGAAAGTTATGGGAGCTGCATGTTGGATTGCTAGGCCTCGGCCTTTCCCTTGCCACCGCGCTGTTCTTCACCGAGGCCACCAAGAACATCTTTGGCAAGCCCCGCCCTGACATGCTTAGCCGATGCCAGCCAGACATTGAGAATTGGAAGAACTACATTGTTGGCGGTTACGAGCTGGGCAGCATGGACGGACGTGTCGTCTCGGCTGCCATCTGCCAGCAGACCGATTCCAAGAAGCTCGACGACGGATTCCGCTCCTACCCCAGTGGTCACTCGTCCACCGCTGCCGCCGGCCTCCTCTACCTCAGCCTCTTCCTCGCCAGCAAGCTGTCCGTCAGGATCCCCTTCGCCATGCCTTCCGCCTCCGCCCTGTCCAGAGCTGATGCCTACGCCGCCTTCCCGGTCTCTGAGCGCAAGTCCACCTCCCCCGAGCCCTACGAACCCCTCGCCAAGCCCGCTGGAAAGGCGTTCCACGCTTTCCGCAGCCAGGCCGCCTCGCCGCCTCTCTACCTGCTCTTCCTCATCACCGTGCCCTTCTCGGTGGGCGTCTTCATCGCTGCCTCCCGCTGGTACGACTACCGCCACCACGGCTTCGACATCCTCTTCGGCTTCACCATGGGCGCCATCCTCGCCATCTACAGCTTCCGCTTCTACCACACCCCCATCAGCGCCGGCGCAGGGTGGGCATGGGGCCCCCGCAGCCACAGGCACGCCTTCTGGTCCGGCATTGGCCTCTTCGGCTACAGGAGCAACGCGGGCGAGGTGCACCAGCACCAGCAGTACAGCGAGGTGTCGGGGAGGGACATGACGGAGCTGCGAGGCCCCACGCCCGACATTGAGGCCAACCACCTGTCCGCCGACCGCGCGCGGAACGACTACGAGCTGCAGCAGATGCGGCACCAGCAGCAGGACTCCGGGTTTGATTTCGGGACGCACCCGACTACGCAAAGCAATCGCATCTGAGCCTGCTGAGCTAGATGTGTTTTAGACTTAGTGTGTTTTTTTAATGTAGATGTTAATCCAATTCTTTTCTTTTCCGTTCACTTTTTTTCCACTTTTAGAAATTTTGAGGACACGGTGTGCCATGCTGTCAGCATTATCCCGGACCGCCCCAGTCACGTTGATGAAATACAGTCAGCACATGGATCGGTGTGAACGGTCGGTAGTTGTCCAGATAAGCTGCTGTCATCTTACGACCCGCTACGACAGCTTGCGGGTTTACCAGGGTTCCGTGTGACGTGCTCGGACTGTTGACAAAGCGGCATTCTCCCACAGTAGACTCCGGCTCCGAACAAGGAGGTTGTAATTGAAACCCAAGACCGCGCTTTATGCCAAGCAATGCAGGCTAGCCCACCACAGGCTGCTATGATAGCCGCTCGGTCATCATTGGGGGCGGCGAGGGTGACGAGGTCGGCATTGCTGTGGATGAGCATTATCCCGGTGCGGAGAAAAATCTGACCTCCAAACTCCTCTCCCTTGCCTCCTTGCCCTGTTGGCGAACGTGCTCGTATAAACCCCGCGAGAAGCAGCATGGGAGGCAGTCCGCCCAGCTCGCTGTAGATGGGCTTTGGCCGGGGATTGTCGATCACTATCTGGGTTACAGGGTCTGACTTGGCGTCGGCGTGTAGATCTAGATTGCCTGGGCTAAAGTCTAATGCGGGGGAGATGAGGACTGCTGTCGATTTATAGTAGGTCTAGGGAGGCTTTGGTGGGCGAGTCAGATTCGAAGGAGAGTGTAGACAGGTTAGCCATGCTGATATGTCTGCTCGATGCTTAGCTTAAATCGGGGCTTTTTGCGAGGGGCTTCATCTCGCTTTAGGTGACTATCGCGCACAGTCTTTCACCAATTTTCAGTTGAAGAGCAGATCTTCCCTGCGAGCTAGAGTGTGTTCAAAGGTATTTTGGATAGAAACTCTTGAACATGTAGAAGCTTTAGGATACGTGTCTCATTTGTGATTTTTTTGTTGATCTGACGATCGATGATCAGAAAGTGTTGTTTAATAATTTCATATTGTAGTCGCAATAACGTATACTGTGACTTGGCCCATGATCGAACAAGGCCAGGCGTTACTAGTATGGATGTTAGCCCTGCAACTCTCCTATGACTGCACGTCGTGAACTCGAATTCTCCTTAACTGGCCTGGCTGAGCTTGAAAAATTCACCATATGGAGATGGACTGACGTCAGAAACAAACTCGCTTCTGGGAATAGCCATTAGTTTGCTGTGGATGTGATGGAAGGGATAGAGTGCCGTCATCTGGAGAAGAGCCATCCTCATCAGGAGAGTTGAGACTTGGGAGAATGAGGGCGAGGAGGAGCTGACATGGTTATGCAAAGATAAGGCTCATATATTCCTGTTAGAAACTCATGCTTAGATACGAAAGTGTTTCCCCGCAGACAGTACAATATACTCGAAACTCTGACTGTCTAAATTAGGTGTTAAACATGATTGGAAGTAATAGTAAATGCCGGGTTTAATATTAGCTGAATTTTGGCTAGATTGTTGCTAAACTTAGAATATCATTAACAGACTACAAACGGTACGAATATTTTGCAAAATCCTGTACAACTTCCTGGGCGGCACGCTCGCCGCTACGAACAGCGCCCTCCATATATCCCTTCCACTCCGCCGCCGTCTCAGTA